AATTAAGTTAGTTCAAATTAGTGCTGTAGTGTAGACATATCCTTACTTATTATCCCAAATTTCAATCCCTCCATAATATACGGGTCTGTCTATTTGCCCTCCTATGACAACTAACACACATTTTCTGCCTCATTTCAGTGCAGAGGCCCCTTTTCCCCTCCCTTAAATAGTGACCCTTTGCTGGCATTGATTGCGGTGGCCAGGGTGACACAATAGTGAAAGTGCTTTTCATTGTTTTTGTTGTACATCTACCCCAGGACAGGACACCCATCTGTTGCAATGTGTGGCCCTTATTTAGTGTTATTGGGGAATGTTACTGGGGAAGGAGGCTCTGTTAGCTGGAGAGTAAACTTCTATAACCTGACCAAACCTGGCAGGGCCCACTTGTGGGTAGGCAAAGCATGAACAGGGACACAGACACAGAAATAATGTGATCTCTGCTTCAGCAGTTCAAAAGAAAGGGGAAAGGAGACACAAAAAGATCAGGCCAGAGAGAGGAGACTGGGAAAGGGGAGTGGAACAGTGGGGAGTGTTGAAGAAAAGAAAACAGGTGTCAGGAGCCAGGAAAAGAGGTACAAATTGTACGTTGGAAAGAGGGAACAAAATGAGCAGAAAATTCAAATACTGATGTCAATTGAAGCAAAATGCAGGACAATGTAGCACTTTAAAGACTAACAAGATGGTTTATTAGATGATGAGCTTTCGTGGGCCAGACCCACTTCCTCAGATCAAATAGTGGAAGAAAGTAGTCACAACCATATATACCAAAGGATACAATTTAAAAAAATGAACAAATATGAAAAGGACAAATCACATTGCAGAACAGAAGGGGGATGCGGGGGGGTGGGAAGGGGGAGGAAGGAAGGTAAGTGTCTGTGAATTGCTGATATTAAAGGTAGGGAGAGTGGGATGTTTGTGAGTTAATGGTATTACAGGTGATAATTGGGGAAACTGTCTTGGTAATGGGTGAGAAAGTTCAAAGACTTGTTAAGTCCTTGTTGGTAAGTGTCGAATTTTAACATGAATGACAGTTCAGAGGATTCCCTTTCAAGTGCAGATGTAAAAGGTCTTTGTAGCAGAATGCAGGTGGCTAAGTCATTTAGAGAGTGTCCTTTCTGGTTAAAGTGGCAAGAAACTGTTTTCTCTTTGTGATCTTGTCTGATATCTGTTTTGTGGGCATTAATCCTTTGGCGAAGTGTCTGAGATGTTTGTCCAATGTACATAGCAGACGGACACTTTCGGCACATGATAGCATAGATTATATTTCTGGATGCGCAGGAATATGTGTTCTTGATCTTATAGCTCACTTGGTTAGGTCCAATAATGGTATCAGCAGAATGAATATGTGGACAAAGCTGGCAACGGGGTTTGTTGCAAGGGAAGGTACCAGGGTTGGTATTAGTGTGGTATGTCCTGTGGTGGTTGGTAAGAATCATCTTGAGGTTAGGTGGTTGTCTATAGGAGACTATGGGTCTGTCTCCCAGAGCCTCTTTGAGTATGGTATCCTGTTCCAATATAGGCTGTAGTTTATTGATAATGTGTTGGACAGGTTTTAGTTGGGGGTTGTAGGTGATGACAAGTGGTGTTCTATTGTTGGTTTTCTTGGGTCTGTCTTGAAGTAGATGGTTTCTAGGTATTCGTCTGGCTCTTTCAATTTGCTTTTTTGTTTCTCTGGGTGGGTAGTTGAGATTTATAAATGCTTGGTAGAGATCCTGAAGCTTCTGGTCTCTGTCAGTGGGGTTAGAGCAGATGCGGTTGTATCGAAGGGCTTGGCTATAGACGATGGATCGTGTGGTGTGTTCTGGATGGGAGCTGGATGCATGTAGGTAACTGTATGAGTCAGTGGGTTTTCTGTAGAGAGTGGTGTCTAATTTTCCATTGTTGATTTGTACGGTGGTGTCCAGGGAGTGGATCTCTCGTGTAGAATGGTCCAGGCTGAGGTTGATGGTGGGGTGTAGGTTGTTGAAATCTCTGTGGAATATCTCCAGTGTTTCTTGGCCATGCATCCAGATCATAAAGATGTCATCGATGTACCGTAGGTAGAGAAGGGGTGAAAGGGGACGGGAGTTGAGGAAATGTTGTTCTAGATCAGCCATAAAGATGTTAGCATACTGTGGGGTCATGCGTGTACCCATGGCTGTGCCACTGATCTGGAGATATAAGTTGTTCTCAAACTGGAAATAATTGTGGGTGAGAACAAAGTTACATAGGTCTGCTATCAGGTTGTCAGTAGTGTCCTCTGGGATAGTGTTTCTAATTGCTTGTAATCCGTCTTCATGTGGGATGTTGGTATATAGAACTTCTACATCCATGGTGGCAAGGATGGTGTTATTGGGGAGGTTATCGATGTTTTGTAGTTTCCTTCTGAAGAGCAGACTATCCAGCGTTAAACAGATGATTTGCCTGGCTCCGTGATCAGTGAGTTTGCAGAGCAGCTGTGGCTGCTTCTCACCCTCCTGACCAGCTCACACTGCAAGGGGAGAACTGAGCTGACATGCCTCATTGCCATTTACCTGCCTTCTTTCTTTCTGACTTCTGTCCTCTCCCTTTCCCCTTTCATCCCTGCCTCCATTAGAGCCTCCACTCCATTTCTGTGCCCCATACCTGGCTCCTCTGTCCAGCTGCCCGGCTTCCTGCAGGGCTATAATACAACACCCTACCTGTATTGGTACCCGCAGCCTCCTCAGAGAAGCCCTGCACATGCTCTTTCTCTCCAGAGGCCAGGATTCAACTGATCCCAGTACAGAGAAACACTTTCAGGCTGCCCAACCAACCCAGAACAACTTGATGCAGAGCACAGACAGCCTCTTCCCCAGTGTCAGGGGGTGTATTACTGCACCTGGAGCTGCACACTGAGCCAAGCGGGTGCTGCCCTTGGACAAAAACTCCCCTTTCCCTCGCTGTGAGGAGCTGAGCTGACATCAGGTTTCACCTACTAGCTCAGTCCCCTGCCCTGTCCCCTCCCACTGACACTGTGAGCCCCAGTTCCAGCTTCTCCCTTCTTTTCCCAAAGGGGAAACATCTATATCATGTCTCCTCACAGTTATTAGTGATGGAAGAGAAGTCCTAGACCACATCTGATCCAACCCCTTTACAACCACTGCCAGTTATACCCTGTGAGATGTTCACCAGCCTAGGTCTAAATGAAGTTTACTTTGCTCCCTCCTGGGGTCTATTATCTGGCTATAAGGCTATATCTACACTGGGAAGGATTGGTGACAAAAATGCTGTCAACATGCAAAAGTCAGCAAAAGTGAAAACTGGTGAAACTTGTTTTTCTGCCTCACATTGTCGACATTTCAGGGCCACTTTGCTAGCTCCCCTGTCTGACAGGTAGAGCAAGCATTGTGGGTAAGCATCGCACAGTGCAGTGTTGTGGGAAGGCAGAGCATTTCTTGGGATTCTCTCCGAGTTCTCCCACAGCATTCTCAGCTGCTGGGAGCACCATCATGAGTATCTCTGTGAGCTCTCCCTGCTAAGGAATGTCAAAACAGCTGTCTCCCCCCAGCAGCAGTAGTCTGCCTGCCACTGTGTTTCTAGCAGGGCAAAACTGGAGCATTCCCATGATTTGCTCTTTGTTATTTGTTATTCCAATTATTTGTTTTCCAAATGGAGCAACTCATTCAGCTGTCAAATACTTTGAAAGGGGAGGGGAACATGCCTGCACGGCAACAGAGATCACAAAACACTGAGCACAGCCATCAGGGCAGGCATTGTAGGATACTGGCAGAAGCCAATTCTCTCGACAAAACAAACAGCAGAGTCCACACTGGCTCTTTGTGGAAAATAAAAGGAGGGGTAAAAGACAAAAATGTTTCTCGGGGATTGAAAGTTTTTGTCATCAAAATGGAGTGTTTTTCCTGACAAAAGTTGCATTGTCGTCTAAACACTCACTGTTTTCTCGCCAAATGCAGTTTTGGTGATGAAACGTGTCAGTGTAGACAAGGCCAAACACATACCTCACCATCAGGGATGGATCTCATTTTTCTAGTTGAAATGGCCTTTGCTCAGTTTCATCTAGCTCTATGATGTTTTGCCTAGAAATGGAATTGGGAAAAGATTTTAGCTTGGTATTAGAAAAACATGAAAGTAACCTCACCAAAAAGGCTAGAGAGCATATGAAGATATGTTAAACTGTCCAGTGTCAGGTAATGACTAGGTGACAAGAGTAGGGGATAGAATTCAGGAGTCCTGACCTCACCAGAATGTACCACTTTTCCTATTAGACGTAGGAATAACCTCTTTGAGGGACATGCTGGAGACTGGAAAAGGAGCTAAATTGATGAAAACCAAATTTTCCCTGGATTAAACTGTATAATGTCCTGGTTGTGGTGTTCTATGCCAGCTGATGAAATGGTTTAATTTGGCCTGTCTCTGTGGATACTCTGCTGATAAAAAAATCACTTATATTGGCTCAGTTTTAGAATAGCAGATTTTTAACCAAATCTTGCAACTGCCTGTGGGATTATGTTCTTATGATGGAGCTTTGACTCTTTCCACTGGCTTTGCTATCTTGTGTTAAAACTGTATAGGAAACAAAACATGTGTGAGGGATGTGAGTGGTGAAACTACCTCTAAAAAGAAATTGAATGAAAAAAGATAAGAAATACCAATATCCAAGAATGTTCCTCACATCCATAGTGACAATATATTTCTTGCTCTGAGCTCCCCAGGCACACCTTTACTCATGCTGATATCCCCCTGGGGTGAGGTATTCTTAGACACCAAATTAGATGATACATTGAAACCTGCCCATAAATGTGAGAGATTTTCTAACAGTTAAGCATCTGAGGATTGATCCTATAATGTGCCATATGCCCTTAGCTATCAGTTAAATTCATGGGAATTGAAGAACCCTGCAAGAGAGAGACCATAACTCTGTTTATACCCTGAGAAATTGAGATAGCTGTGAATGCAGTGAAATGGCAGTTACACCACTTCCTGCACTAAGGACAAGAAAGTGGCAGTTTCAATCTTCAGTCAGAGTAACTTACGAGACCATGTATTCAGTCCCTGTACTGCTCTGGTTTCTTGTTTCATGTAAGCAAAACAATTTTTGTCATTTATATTTTCATTTAGGATATATATTTGTGTATACTGTATATATATATGTGTGTGTATACTGATGTATGTATATAACATGTAAGACATTATATTTATAGATATGGTATCTTGAATTGGCTTTTTACATTAATAGAATTTTTCCATTTTTCTCATTCTGGAGGAGAATTTCAAAAGCATCCTTTGTGTGATTTGCAAATCTATCTATCTATCTATCTATCTATCTATCTATCTATCTATCTATCTATCTATCTATCTATCTATCTTCTAATTTATAGGTTCATAATATATTAGTATAGTTTGTTAAATATATATCATGGCTTTATTATTTTATTAATTAAAATATAATTATAATGATACATTATTATAACATTTTTATGTCAGTATTATAATAGATACATTTCTGTTACATTTTTTTAATCCCAAAATGCTTTACAAAATTGAGGATTTGATGCCAATGAAATGTATTTGAATATTTGGTATTCCTTTTCTTTCAAGTAGGCTTCCAAAAGGTAATGAAGTTATTCAGAAGTTCACTCAAGGTTCAGTCCTACAAGATACTAAGAACTCTGTGTCTTTTTTTTTTTTTACTGTGTACAGAAAAGGAAGATTCAAAATTGGTTATACCCATTACATGCTACAACTCTGACATTCTTTGTCACATTAAGCCAAGTTGACAGAGCACTTTTATTCCTATATAAGAGTGCCCACCTGAAATTAAAAAAAAGTGTGACATACACATGATATCACTAATTTGGTTGAAGTTAAGGTGTAGAAGAGCTCTGAGCAATCATAAATACATTGTAATTAACCATCAATCATCAATTATTATTACCACTAATGAATAAACTTTTCTTCACTTTATTTTCCACCATTCCATAAATCATTGTGGGGAGGGAGTTGCATTCAATGCATTTCATTCTTTCTGCTTATATTTCTTGATTTTCCTGTTGGATTGTAGATGTTCACTCTGCAACCATTCTCCAGAGTCCTCAGTCAGTGGTGGAAGAACTGGATAGAAATGCTTCCCTTGAATGTTCTGTGGAAGGGACATCTAATCCCAACATCTACTGGTATAGGCAACTACCCAGTGGAGTGATCAACATGCTTGCCTACTCAATAGGCACCAGCCAAGCACATAATACTGGGCCGAGACACTTCAAACCAAGCAGAACCAATGACACCATGTTACTCTTGAACATTACGGGCCTCTTAGCCAATGACACAGGAGTGTATTACTGTGCTTGGAGCCGCACACTGAGACAAGTATATACAACACCTGGACAAAAACTTCTCCTTCTTTCCATGCACTGGCCTGTAGGCCCATCACTTGTCGTCCCAGTGCAGCTCTGTGTGAAGAGGGAGGATAGCAAAGTTGTCTATGAACCCAGTTTTGTGGTGACAGACTATGGGTAAAATCACAGGAGATGGAAGCAACACAGCCATGGGCTGAAGGGTCAGTGATACACCCCGCCGAGCTTTTCAAGGGAGATTTTTTTGACAAGAGGGTCTCCGCAGCACATTCCTTTCAGATCAGGGAAGGAGAGGGTTATTTTAGTAGTGGGGGGAGCAAGGGAGGCTGATGGAACTAAGAAAGATGAATTACAGGCAGTATAGGAAGAAAGCATTTTATAACAATATTGTTACTCCCTGAAGGTGGAATTAGAAGTTCCATTTCTCGAATGATTAGACTGTATAGTATGGCTGCTCTTTTCAAACTAATACTGTTCCATTCAGTGGCAACTTTCACAATGGGTTAAAATAATTAGGGTAGCATGAAAGAGGCAAGAATGAAATGAATTTGCTTTAATGTGATGGAAAATGGTGTCTGGGAACATCTCTCCAGATTTTACTGAAATGTAATTTTATATCGATTATACTATGTCTCTGACTGTAGCCTCCAGCTCCCACTGTTGGGCTGTGTCTACACTGGCCACACTTATTCCGGAAAATCAGCCACTTTTCCGGAATAACTTGCCAGCTGTCTACACTGGCCCCTTGAATTTCCGGAAAAGCACTGACGATCTAATGTAAAATCATCAGTGCTTTTCCGGAAAAACTATGCTGCTCCCATTCAGGCAAAAGTCCTTTTTCAGAAAACTTCTGGAAAAGGGCCAGTGTAGACAGCAGAGATTTCTTTTCCGCAAAAAAGCCCTGATCGCGAAAATGATGATGGGGGCTTTTTTGTGGAAAAGCGCGTCTAGATTGGCATGGACGCTTTTCCACAAAAAGTGATTTTCTGGAAAAGCATCCTTTTCTGTGATTTTCTGGAAAAGTTTTCCATTATAAGCATTTCCGGAAAATCATGCCAGTGTAGACGTAGCCTTGCAGTCTCTCCATGTCCCTCTACTTCGGTTCTGTCCTTCTGGCTGTTTGCTGATGGGCTGCTTTGTAGCGTGTTACACCGCTTTAGTCACAGCTGCACTGATACCAAGGATTAAATCCCAAGAAGGAAAGACACAAAGTAGCTGCTGCAGCAGAGGAGTTTAGATACTATTATTTTTAAAAAATGTGATTGGTTAGAAAGGCATTTATAGATGTCCTTGACTAGGTCACAGCAAGCAAGAGTGTTTGAAGAGAGACATAAGACAGGACTAATCAGCACTTTAAAGACTAACAAGATGGTTTTATAAAGTGCTGCATGGTCCTGTCTTTTGTTTCAGCAAGACCAGACTAACACAGCTACATCTCTATTACTATTCTGAAGAGACATCTTCCTGTAATAATCCTTCCCAACCACTTGGTGGTGCTCCTGTTCTACTGGAGGGAATTAAAGCTGGTGTATAAGAAGTACAATTAGCCATGGAAAGACAATTCTGTTCTGTAACTGCTGTCAAAAAATTCATTTTCATTTTGCATTCAAATGAAAACTGTATTTCTTCCCCCCATGCTTTTGGAAATGGACTTATGGACATGAACATACATATCTCAAAAGTGTTTTGAGCGAATCATTTCGTGTAACCCATCAATCTTCATGTCACAATCCACTGGTTCTCTTTATCTTACTCTGTTGTGTGTGTAAAATTAGACACATGGCGTGGGGAATACTTTGTGGGTTTCAAATGTGTGAATGAGAGACATGGAGGGTGTTATCCTCAACTATTTAATTATCTCTTTTGTCCTTCAGCCTGAGCAGTGGTTGGTAGAGAGTGGCCTCAATCCTTAAACAAAAAGAATAGGAGAGCAGGGGCCTCTGGTCTTTTGGCTGGGCTGCACCTGAGGGAAGGAGCCTTATAATAGTGAAGCCAGAGCATGCCCAGAAAGCTAACGGGGGTGTGGCCTCCCCTTCCTCCAGGCTGAGTTAACCCCCTCCTGGACAGTGCAGGGTGGATACTCCCCATCACACCACCCTTAAATGTCAATATAAAATTCAATTCATGCACATTAGATGGCACCCTTTCCCTTTTGAAATGGAGTTTCAGCAGAGCAGACTCCATGGCTGTGTCTAGACTGGCAAGTTTTTCCACAAAATCATTTGATTTTGTGGAAAAACTTGCCAGCTGTCTACACTGGCCGCTTGAATTTCCAGAAAAGCACTGACGATCTCATGTAAAATCATCAGTGCTTTTCCGGAAATACTATGCTGCTCCTGTTGTGCGAAAGGACCAGTGTAGACAACATAGTTCTGTTTTCGCAAAAAAGCCCTGATTGCAAAAATGGTGATCGGGGCTTTTTTGCGGAAAACTGCGTCTAGATTGGCCACGGATGCTTTTCCGCAAAAAGTGCTTTTGCAGAAAAACATCCTGCCAATCTAGACACGATTTTTCCAAAAATGCTTTTAACGGAAAACTTTTCCGTTAAAAGCATTTTCGGAAAATCATGCCAGTGTAGACATAGCCCATCCGTTTCTGATTTTGGCAGTAAGGCAGGAGACTGAATCTCACTCTGGGTATGTCTACACTACCCCCCTAGTTTGAACTAGGGGGGGTAATGTAGTCATACGGAGTTGCAAATGAAGCCCGGGATTTGAATTTCCCGGGCTTCATTAGCATAAAGCCGGCCAGCGCCATTTTTAAATGCCGGCTAGTTCGGACTGCGCGCCGCGCGGCTACATGCGGCACAAACTAGCTAGTTCGGATTAGGCTTCCTATCCGAACTAGCTGTACGCCTCGAGGTGTACAGCTAGAGTTCGAACTAGCCGGCATGTAAAAATGGCGCCGGCCGGCTATATGCAAATGAAGCCCGGGAAATTCAAATCCCGGGCTTCATTTGCAACTCCGTATGACTACATTACCCCCCCCTACTTCGAACTAGGGGGTAGTGTAGACATACCCTTAGAGTCAGAAATGGAAGCTCTCAGCCCAGCTTAGTGTGCATTGCCTACAAGTAGGCCAGAGAAGTCTGTAGAGCCAAATCTCTAGATATTACAAATGTTTTTGATTTAATGAACACAAGTAATGTATCTAATCTGTTAACTTACGTGCTATTTTCAAAAAAGGTTGACGCAAAAAATCAAATAGAAAGAGAACTTGAATAAAATAGGAAAATCGGAATTGGCATTTCACCAGTTTACACAAGGCAGGCAGGGTAAATGCCTCTGCAAGAGATCACTGGGTTTGGAGTTGGTAAATCTGAGCAAGCTCCCACTGATCCCTGGTGGGCTGTCTGACTCAGATAGGCCTGGCACACCCAGGCTCCCCTATGTTCAACCCAGGTTGCTTCCAGCTGAAGATCTTGCTGCTGAAGTCATCTCAGCCCCTCTGAGCCTGGCCTGGGGGGTGCAGAGCTGGACCCGATATCTTGGGGTGAGGGACTAGATGCAGACTGACCAAGACCAGTTTAAGCAGGCCCCACAGGCCCCAGTTCAGGCCTTGTTGGCCCAATGTAACACTGTCCTCGCCTCATTATCCACCCTGCCTCATGGGCCAGACCGTGAGGACTGGCTGCTAATGTCAAACCATTGTGCCCCCTTTTATTGGTTGCTGGTGAGAAAGGACCATGCCTGTGAGCTATACATACTGGTGGCCTACTCCCTTTTCCTCCATGGCTCAATGTGGGAGGTGAGCACTGCAGAGGACGAGCCCAATTCCCTTTGGGTGCTGGGGGTGCTTCATCTCCTTGGCTCCCGTAAGGAGAAGTGGGGGTTGGGGCATCCTGGAAGGGGTTGGGGTGGACCATTTGTTCTGGTGGTGACAGGGGGATAAGGGTGGCCGGAGGTGTCCTGCCTGGAGTGGGAAGCAGCTGCCATGGGGAGGAGTCCAAGCTGCTAGCGCTAGCTGCCGTGATAATTCTTCTTACATGTGTTAGAACTTCTGATGCAGATGAAGTGAAGTCGAGCCTGAGCCCTGGTGCCAGGGCCCGCTTTGCCCAGAGCCTCTTCCTGCCCTGTGGGCTGAGCCTGGCCCCACCTCCACACCCCCATCAAGCCTGCGCACTGGGGCTGCAAACCTCACTGGGCTTCTACTCTTTGTGGGCACCTCAGGAGCTGCTAGTGCCCTGCTGCAGTCACAGGAGAGCTCCCACCCAGAGCGGCCCCAGCACTTGCTGACCTGCGCTTGTAAATGGGAAGAATGTCCAGTAAAACAGCAGCAAAATGTCTGAGCTGGTTTCCTTGCTGAGCTGCACAGCACTGCCTTTGAGCAGGTGCAATGTCCCTCTGACAGCTTAGCTGGCTAAGCAGTGGTGTGCGAGGAAAAGCTTGTTTGTAACTGGTAGCTAGCTGCTTGCCTAAAACTTGAGTGGTGCTTTTAAGAGCGATCTACATGCTGGTATCGGATCAATGCTGAGAGCCACACTGTCAGACCAAAGGTCCATCTAGCCTAGTATCCTGTCTTCTGGCAGTGGCAATGCCAGATGCCCCAGAGGGAGAGAACAGAAACAGGGAATCAATAAGTGATTCCCTCCTTTGTCATCCATTTCCAGCCTCTGACAAAGGGTATGTCTACACTACCGGTAATGTAGGCATACCGCACTTGCAAATGAAGCCCGGGATTTGAATTTCCCGGGTTTCCCAGGCTGGAACGAGGTGTACAGATAGTTCGGAATGGCTTGCTAGTTCGAACTATCTAGCCCGTGCTGCGTGTAGCCGCGCGGCACGGGGTTCGAACAAGCCGGCATTTAAAAATGGCGCCGGCCGGCTTATGCAAATGAAGCCCGGGAAATTCAAATCCCGGGCTTCATTTGCAAGTGCGGTATGCCTACATTACCCCGCTAGTTCAAACTAGCGGGGTAGTGTAGACATACCCTAACAGAGGCTATGGACACTATAGAGGGGCAGATGGAGGGGCAGACATAACATGTCTTGGAAGCATATGATTATCGACAACACAGAAAAATTTAATCTGAAATGGGAGGACTTAGGTCACATGACAGCTGATAAGCAAGCATGGAGTATGTGGGTAGCCCAATATATTAAAAAGCAAAGAATGGACTAATGTGTAAGGGAGGGGTCGGCAACCTTTTTGAACCAAAGAGCCAAACTACATCAAATTTCAGAACAAGTGGTCAATAAAGAGCCATGTAAGAATGATTATTTTGCATGACTAAAAATACACAACTTAATATCATTGAGAATTGACATGATAATTAATAACAGCATAAATGAAACATTGCACTCATAGACTTTATTTAAGAAAAAAATATGAGCTTTCGAAAGCTTTAAAGTGCTGCATATTTTTTCCTTTTGTTTTACCAAGATTAGACTAACATGGGGTAGGTCTACACTACAACGTTAATTCGAACTAAGCTAATTTGAACTAAAGGATCCAGACTAAAAAACTAGTTCGAATTAGCGTTTTGCTAATTCGAACTAGCATGTCCACATTAAGTGGACCCTGAACCGGGCTTAAGGATGGCCGGAAGCAGTGCCAGCAGGGCATCAGAGGAGGACTTAGAGCGTGGAGATGCTGTCTCAGGCTAGCCCAGGGCTGTGCTTAAAGGGTCCCGACCCCCACCCCGGACAGACAGTTCTCAGGGGTGCCCCGCTTGCAAAACAGTCCTGGCTTGGAGTGCCCGGAGTACCCACACTGGGCACATCACAGCACTCGGCCATCAGACTGGCTGCACTTGCCGCAGGCTGCCATCTGGGGAGAGGGGGCAATTGGGGGGCTGCAGGAGAGCTTCCACCCCCAGAAGCCCGCAGAGCCAGCCCAGTCCTCCCCATCGGGGGCTCGTGCCCCATTCCTCCCTCACCTCCTTCCACTTACCCCTCCCTAGCCCCTCTTCCTGATGTACAAAATAAAGATAATGTGTCTTCCAAAATGGAATCTGTCCTTATTGAACAAAACTGGGGGAGACTGGGAAAAGGAGGTGGGAGAGGGGAAGAGAGAGGCTGGGAGAGGGGAGGGCAACTAAAATGATCAAGGGTTGGGAACAGGTCCCATATGAAGAGAGGCTAAAGAGACTGGGACTTTTCAGCTTAGAAAAGAGGAGACGGAGGGGGGACAGGATAGAGGTCTCTAAAACCATAAGTTGGGTGGAGAGGGTGCATACAGAAAAGTTCTTCATTAGTTCCCATAAAGAAGGACTAGAGGACACCAAAGGAAAGGAATGGGTAGCAGGCTTCAAACTAGTAACAGAAAGTTGTTCTTCACAAAGCAAAGAGTCAACCTGTGGAACTCCTTGCCTGCAGGAGGCTGTGAAGGCTAGAACTAGAACAGAGTTTAAAGAGAAGTTAGATCAAGTCATGGAGGTTGGGTCCATGGAGTGCTATTAGCCAGGGGGTAGAAGTGGTGTCCCTGCCCAAGGTTTGTGGAAGGCTGGAGAGGGATGGCACGAGACAAATAGCTTGGTCACTGTCTTCGGTCCATCCCCGCCAGGGTCCCTAGGGTTGGCCGCTGTC